TTGGAGCTGGAAGAGACAGCGGGGCAGGGGGGCATGTGAGCCAGGCCGAGGCTCACTGCTGCCAGGGCTGAGCTGCGCCTACAGGCCGAGGGCTGAGTCCTGGCAACTCGTTGCATGCATGGAGTGTCGATGGCAGCATGGGGACTGTGGCCAAGGTCACTCCATTTTGGAGTGAATGAGCGGTGCTGCCCTGGGACACCCATGGCCACACACACGTCTGCACTTGCCCCCCTCGACCCGCATGATGGGCACAGCAGGGTGCCCATGACCTGCTCTGGGCAGTTTGCCTTCCGAGTCCCAGGCTGGGACCTGGGGCACGGAGCCACTCCCAGGGCCCATCCGACATTGGCCTCTGCTGGACAGAGTTGCGCGGGTGCCACTGGCTGGGCTCGGAGCCCGCATTTCCACCCTGTGCCAGGGTCTCCTACACACTCAGACTCCAGCCCACGTTCCAGGGATCTCTCCCCTGCCCCCACTGTGCCACGGGTCACTTAGGGATCTCTTTCACACTCACACTCCCCCTCTCATACACATGCACATACACACACCTTCTTACATGTGCACACACACACATACCCCCTCTGATGTGTGCACACACACATACACAAACATGCCCCTCATGTGCGCACACACACACACACACACATACATATATGCACCCTCTCACATTTGCACACCCCCCACCCTCTTGCAGGTGCACACACACATACTCTTTCATGTGTGCACACATACATACATATGCACACCCTCTCACATTTGCACATGCCATCTTACATGCGCATACATACACATACACCCCCCACCCTTTCACATGTGTATACACACACACACTCACATTTGCACATACATTCACCCTCTCATGTGTGCGCGCACACATATACACACACCCTTTCATGTGCACGCACACATATATAATTGTACGCATGCATACAAACAGACTCACATGTGCACACCTCCCTCTCATGCGAGTATACACACATACCTACACCCTTTCACATGTGCGCACACAGCCCCCTCATGTGTGCACATGCACACACATGTGCACACGCATGCATGCACACACACACACACACATACACAACCCTTTCACACGGGCACACACACACACGCAAACACGTCCCTCGAAGCACAGGGGTCTCTCACAGCCTCCTGCCCCCTCTGCCCGTCTCCCCTGCATGCCGGCCAGCCCTACCTGAGGAAGGGGCGGACAAGGGTCACCAGCGCCCGGATGTACCACGTGGGGTGGACGATGACCAGGGCCTTCATGTTCTTCCGCAGCCTGTGGGGACGGGGGTGCAGGCACGTGTCAGCCTGTGGGACCCACTGCTGTGGGGCCTGGGATTGCTGCCACCAGGGGCACCCAGGCTGCAGCCCCCTCCCACTGTCCAGCAACAGCCCCACCGTCTGCCCCAGGCCAAACCCTATGGGGACAGGAGCTGGGGCTGGTCCCCTCCCTGCGTGCTCTCCCCAGGGTGGGCAAAACCCCCGCAGGAGTCCTGGCTCCCAGTGTCCCCAGAAGGGAGGCTGTGGCTCCCAGCTGTGCCCAGCTGGGTCTGAGCTATGTTGGGAGGTGCGAGGGGGGGAGGGATTGGACTAGGCCCAGCCTGCCACGGGTGCCCTGAGCACAGGGAGCTCTGGGGGGGGGTAGGCTCCAGCCTGGACCCTGGGGGGGGGTCCCTCCTGGGGCCAGGGGAGACGGGTCCCCACATCACTCACCGCTGGTCGATGGTCTGGTAGCACTGGCGCAGCCAGCTGAGCGCTGGCACCTGACTGCGGGCTGTGGCACCGCTGAGACACACCAGGGTGTAGTTTTCAGCCACCATCAGCTCCAGTGTCCCGATGATGTACCTAACAGGTGGGGAAACCGAGGCACGGTGCCAGTCAGGGAGAGGAGCCAGGGTAGGCCCAGCCCCCCAGGCCCTGCCCCACTCCTTCACATCCCTCCTGCGATGGGGGGAAGAACCTAGGTGTCCTGA